TAGATATTTGTTTATTTGTTTAATTTTTCGCAAAAATAAGAGAAACTCGGATCATAATTCACCTTGTGAAAACAAGGAACAACTAACCTCAAGAAAAGCAGCCAAAAACAGTGAAAATTGGGGAGAAAATGGCTAAACCAGGCTGGAAACAGCTGATCGCCGCGGTGACGCGCCGCAGCCGCGTTGCGATCCTTTGGCCGCCTAATCAAGTGCCCGGATGACGACTGCAGCCTGTATGGGCCTTGCTGAGCACGATGCGGTGCCCCACTAAGCCGGACTCCCCAGAGAAAATGAATAGGAATGCAATGCAAGAAATGGGAATTTATCGATATGGTAGAGGCTAAAAGAACAGATAAATGTCGAACCGGGGATAGCGTAACTTATACCACTGAGATAATTATTCATCGCAGGTAAAAGATAGCGTGTGTTTCTATCTAGTTGACTTGATGCAGCGTTGCCTACCTACAACAGTTGTGTCCTGATGAGAATGCCACGTACGTAGCTCGCTTTTGACACATCTGTCGCCTCCCTGCCGTCGGATGCACTGAACTACTTTCTATTCAATGAGAGACCAGGTAAGCTTTCAATTCCTGGTTCCAATCATTTGGGACCAGTACACAAGACCAGGGTCAAGCATCACGTCAAGGAAACTTGGCCGTCAATTCAGCATCCTTGTCCCCCCTAAAAGTGGGAACACAATCTGATTCACGATGTCACAACTCTATTGACCACTGACTCCTGCAAATCAAATACGTCCTCTTCCTTCGTCAGTGGGCCTGAACCCCCCTTCCCGTTGAGGATTTCTTATCGGATGCTTGGCTTAGCTGAGACTGATGACGCAACAACAATACTAGTAAGCACCAAGGTAACGGCGGCTGTGACGATTCTGAATACCATTGACTTGTCACGTCGCTAAGGACGATGTTAACAAAAAGCAGTGACATTTAGATCCCAACAAAAGATCCTAACAAACACAAGATTCCTAACATATAACAAGTAAGGTGACAGGCAAACCCTAATGCCAGCTAGTGGAGTTTTTGCTCCGAGTACAAACTTTGTACGTATTACCGCTAGAAGAAGGCGCGGGTACGGTGGTTGCTAATGTCTGCAGTTTATTGAGGATGTCTACACTCCAAATCCCGCACATGGAGTGGGCGTGGCTTAGCATCATTCGAGCGTGGCGTAGGACACGCCTAAAGCAGCTGGGGCGCACCAGTGGGGTATCGGTTTCGGCGGCGCCAGCATCTTTCCCACTACTCACCGAAGTTGCAGCGAGCGATGAAAAACAGCCTGGCGCCGAGCCAAAAACTAACCGACGCTGACACGCCCCGAATGATTTGAGTGACGCAAGAACAGGAGATCAAAGAACTTCGTGAGAGTACTGTAGAAGCAAACTGATGAGGACAAGATTCGTTAGGCTGAATTAGCGATGTATTTATCGGCGACAGATGCAACATCGGAGCCGTTTTTCATCGTCTTCGTTGATGATTCATCTGCAGCTGCTCGCATAGGCGTGATATAAGAAATCGTGGAAGATTACGCCTTTGAAAGCTCGAGTGCAGCTTCCAACAAAACCTCGGAATTGGAGAGTTGCCCATCAGACTAAAGCTTTTGAAAAGG